AGCTTGAGCAAGACTTGGCGCCGATGGATGATGGCAACGGTGAAGGGCAAGTGAAGTCAAGATCGATGAACCAATATTATCACATGATGATATGAAGTGGATCATATCATTGTTGATCGTGTCGGTGCATGTGTTGCATCGACGTTGGAGGAGATGGAATGGAATGCGCAAGGCAAAGGTATAACCTAGGGCATTTCATTTCACTGGTCATAGGTGTGTAGAGAAGTATATGACCGGGTTCAGGATAGATGGCCGTACTATCAAGAGGAGCAAACTTGTTTGCATATCGGTCATCTAGTGCCACTCGAGTGATCTAACTTTGCATCGTCGCTAGGATCGAGTGGCGTGGCAAGTTGAGTGGCTAACATCCTTTGGGAAATGATTGTGAAAAGCTAACACACATACACATGGTGGTGTACACTTGGTGGTGTTGGCACATTTACAAAAGGAGGTGGTGTTTGCAGGGTTGAGATGGGTTTGGGTCCCTCTCTCGGTGGGATTCGACGCTTTCGGGAAAATGGAATGCCTATTTTGTATTGCGCCGGATGCAAATTCTTGTGGTTGGCACATTGGAGCAAGGGTGAAGAAGTTAGAAGTGAAAACGAGTTGGTCGCGAAGACGCTGGCGTCGGTCAACTGACCAGACACTGGGTTTGAAAGCACCGGACGCTGGTAGCATGCGTCTGGTCGAGCTGGTCGATCGGCGCAGCATCGGGGTATTGCACCGGACGCCGGTCTGTGTCCGGTCAAAGGTAGACCGGACGCCGTCGGTCGAAGAAATACGCCGAGGAGCTTCTTGAAACGACCGGTCATTTGGGGCTTCAGGTCGTCCGGTCGATTAAGCCTTCAAGGTCTGGTCGAGTCAAGTGACCGTTGGAATCGAGACGTGGCCATCTGCGGGCGACCAGACCAGACGAGGTCCAGCGTCCGATCAACACGACCAGAGTGTCGGTCGGCCCGATTTTTGCCCGAAGAAGGGGTAGCGGCTAGTTTAGCCCTTAGGGCTATAAATAGAAGTGGCCCTCGACCATGGTGGTGCGCGAGCACCTAAGGGGACTTAGTGTCCATGCTTGTGAGTGCTTGGGAGCCCTCCATCACATATACTTGATAGTGATCATTCGATTGTGTGAGTGAGCGATTCTAGTGCGATTGCATCGTGAGGTTGCATCGAGTGGCACTAGGTGGTCGTGTTGCAAGCCGGTGGTGCTTGTTACTCTTGGAGGTTGCCACCTCCTAGACGGCTTAGTGGTGGTCTCTCGTCGAAGCCCGCAAGAAGCTTGTGCGGCGCTCCCGGAGAAGTGCTTGTGAGGGGTACTTGTGTGCTCGCCCAGCGAGTCGCGAAGAGCAACTTTAGTAAAGCGTGTCATTGAGCTACCCTCATTTAAGGGGTAGGTTCTTGCGGTGCCCGACGTGCGGGCTTAGCAGGTGATGCTAATTAGCCGTCGAACCACCAAGTGAGCGGTCGACACAACGGGGACTAGCGTGTTGGCAAACACGTGAACCTCGGGAGAAAAATCATCGTGTCAACCTTGTTCTTCCCGTTGGTTTGCATTCCCATTACACAAGCTTGCAATTACTTTTATATATCTTAAGCTTGTGTAGTTGCTCTTGTAATTAGATAGCTTGTGTAGCTAGCTAATTACCTTCTTGCTTGTGTAGCATAGAAGTAGCTCTCTTGTGTGGCTAATTTGGTTTTAGTAACCTTGTTAGTCACATTGCTTAGTTTGTGTAGCTAAGTATTTGCGCTCTCTAATTAGGCATTGGTTGCCTTGTTATTGAGCATTGCTAGTGAGCTTAGTTAGCTTTGTGCCTTTGCTCACTAGCATGTGTAGGAGCTCCCTTGTTACTTAAAGTACTAGTGGCATAGGTTTGTGTGACCTTGCTCCTAGAATTGTTTAGGAGAGCTCTAGCTAGCCCGACACCTTAGTTGCTTTATTAGTATCTTTGCAAGGTGCTATAGAACATATATTGAGGGGTGTAGTCTTGGCTAGACCGATAGTTGTATTTCCGCACTTGTTTCGGTTAGCCGACGCGATTAATTTTACAAAAGACTATTCACCCGCCCCTCTAGTCCGCCATCTCGACCCTACGCTAATTCATTATCGTGTTCAATGCAATATTGGAACGGGCAGGATACACTCCCTACAGCTCTGTATATCTGGACGCAAGCATAGTTAGTTAGAGAGAATGCGAGGCGCAAGTACAGGGAGTACACGGACTGTCTCGACGTCCTGACACAGCACCAGGTTACGCTCTCTTTACTATCATGCATGTGTCTTGTTCGATGTACACTATATCACAACCTAACTCAATTACAAAATGTTCAGGTGCATTGGTGTCCTTGTGATGCTCCGGAGCTCCAGTACTATCTGAGTTCTGTCACTAGGGATGAGTCAGACGAGTATCACTGCAATGTCCCTCTTATTTTCTTCCACGTGGTCGAGATTCACTTGCCCATCAGGGTTTGCAGGCAGTTTGGAAGAATGACAGGCTACCCACCACCGCTTTACTCCACCAACCAAGAATTGCACGGGTGCGTTATCGATTAATTACAAAGCTACAATTCAAAGGTGTATATGGTACAACTAACAATCGTTTTGTTGCAGGTATGACCACAGAAAGAGGTACAAGACCAAGGATTGGTGCGTGACACACAACGCGTACATCCAGTTGTGGCAGACCAGGGACCGACAGCCGGTCGATGCGGGTCCCCCACATGACCAGCACACCTTCGACGAGTACCTGCGGTGGCTTCATAGGTCTACGAGGACACATATCAAGCCCCCGTACACTGAGGAGGCGATTGACGAGGACGACGGGGAAGATGTGATCGAAGATGCGTACGACGTTGCCACTAGGGACGACACACAACTACAGAGAGCCCCGCTTCAAAGATTCATTGTAAGATACTCGAATGGTATAATTTGTTATCCATTTGGTATTAAGTATGTGTACTAAAACTGTCCAACCGTATTTTTGTACCCAGGCGACATAATTGTCAAGGCTGTCCAACGAAACAACGTTTCGGCTTCACGAGTCTAGAGGGCAAGGGCCAGACGTTCTCAAAGCTTTTGTGGAGGTAAACATAAATTTGTCCGTTCCAAAAATGTTTCTTTAGTATATATGCGTTTGAGAAATGCACTAACTTTAACGTCTATTTATGCAGAAGGTGAAGAAGAGCTGCAGGAAGTTAGCTCAGAAGCTGAGCTGCATGGACACTCCTTGGGTGGAACTTGATTACCCGGCACGGTCGGGTGACACGTCTTCTGGCTCTTTGAGGACACCAGCCGGCTTTTCTCAGCCGGTGACAGGTGCCGCTTCCGCAGTGCGTACACCACCACATCATAGCGCTGGAAAAGGACCCTGCAAATGAGGAGGACGACGATGACCCCCTGGGCTTCCGCATACAGCACCACCAGTGGGACGATTAGCAGCAGGACGAGATCGGCATGTCTCAGCTAGGTGGTGCCCCACTTGGTACCCAAAGAGCCTCACAGGTAGTAACAAAGGTAGTTTCTTTAAATACGTAGGCTCCATGAACAAACGATCATACAAATTATAAGTAATCGTGCATATCATATACTTGCAGGGTATGAGTCGTACGCACCGGCAACGCGACCACACCGACATTGGCTACACTTTCAAAGTGTTGCCTACAAATCCAAAGAGACAGAGGCGTCCAAGGGATCCTTACACTCCTGGGACTTAGTTGGTTATGTCGAACAAATATTGTCGTCTGAAACTTATGTCGAACAAATGTTAGGTGACAACTTGTCAACTTACGCTCGGACTCTATTTATTTGCTTCATATTCGTTTCAATGCGTTGCGGCAGCACTGCCGGCGAGATTAACTAGCAACAGTGTTCGAGAACCGGCAATCCCGGCGTATCTCGTCGCCGGTGGTGGCGTCTTGACCCCGATCCTCCCGAGCTTGGTCATCGCTGCCACGAAATCGCCGAAGAAGGCACTCTGGTTGGACGCGTAGTAGTCGACCGTGCTGCGCGACCTCATGTCGGAGTAGAGCACCTGGTTGGAGCCGGGAGGCCCTTGCCGACCTGCAGGTTCCGATAGAAGGCGTTGTCGAAGCCCACCGGCAAGGGGTCGAGGAAGGTGAAGGCGTTAGGGTCGGAGACGCAGGTGCCATTCAGCTGCGAAGCGAAGCCGGGGTCCATGGTCGCGTTGCTGCCGATCCTCACCAACAGCAACTCCTGTTCAATTGCAATTGAGGCTGGTCTTCTGTCTGCGTCCAGGTCCTGCCGCGCCATGGGCCTTGGCGCGTTAGTGCCGCGCCGTGGTCTATGGCGCGGCAGACCCTACCACGTCATCGGTCAGCGCCCGGTCGTCGTCACGTCATCCTCTCGCCGCGCCACCATGGCAATAGGCGCAGCAAAAATGTTAGTTTTGAAAAAAAAATTAAAGAATGTTAAATTTAAAATTAGTTTAAAAAAATGTCAGAAATAAAAACAAAATTCACGAAAGCAAAGGCAAAAGGCAGCCACACCCACTGCGCCACTCAGTAAAGAATCCGTCCACTCCAGTCCGAACCATTCCTTCCCTTCGTCCCTCTCCTCCGTCATCGATCCGGCCAAAAGCGAAGCAAGGCAGAGCATATTGTTCCATCGGTCTCACCAAAAGAGCAGTGGAACTGGGGATCGAGAGGGCACCAACAAAGCGAGCCCGCCGAGCGCATCACGCAGGGCTCCCCTTTTCTGGCTCAAAAGAATAGATCACTCTTTCTCTCCACACACACACGCGCGTAGGTAGCCACACTTGCTTGGAATTGGATTGCTGCCACTCACAATTCTCTCCCATAGCCTGGCATCCTAGCTATAGCTGGCTACTGGCTAGCCTCCTCCTCCTCCTGGCTGGTGGCTTCTACTGCTACCCTTGCCGGTTCTCGGTTCTCACCGCGCTGCCATTAAAACCCCCCTTCCTTGTTACCACGGCGATCTTGAGCAAGCGCACTCTTCATGTTGCCGCCTCGCCGCAGTAGCAGTTTACATGGATACGCTGTTTAGGTTGGTTAGCCTTCAAGCCTCCGAGCAGGAGCAGCAGCAGCAGTCGGCGTCCTACAACTCGAGGAGCACCACGTCGAGCGGCTCCAGGTCGTCGTCGCACCAGACCAACGCATCCTACAACTACTACTACCACAGCACCACCAGCGGCGGCGCCGGGCAGTACTACTACGGCCAGCAGCACCAGCACCAGCACCAGCAGTACTACCTGGAGCCGTACCAGCAAGAAGAATGCGGCAACGCCCACCACCTTTACATGGATGAAGACTTCTCCTCCTCGTCCTCGTCGATGCAGCACTTCCACTCGCACGGCGCGGCGGTGCAGCCGCCGACGTCGTCCGCGGCCACGCCCACGGCGCCGACGCCCCCGCTGTCCACGTCGTCCACGGCTGCGGGGGCGGCGCACGCGCTGTTCGAGGCGGCCGACCTGTCGTTCCCGCCTGACCTCAACCTCGACTTCTCGTCCCCGGCGTCGTCGTCCGGCGGGGGCGCGGCCTCGTCGGCGGCGGTCGGGGGAGGCGGCGGGGGAAGATGGGCGAGCCAGCTGCTGCTGGAGTGCGCGCGCGCGGTGTCGGCCCGCGACAGCCAGCGCGTGCAGCAGCTGATGTGGATGCTCAACGAGCTGGCCTCGCCGTACGGGGACGTCGAGCAGAAGCTGGCGTCCTACTTCCTCCAGGGGCTCTTCGCGCGCCTCACGGCGTCCGGCCCGCGGACGCTGCGCACGCTCGCGGCGGCGTCCGACCGGAACACGTCCTTCGACTCCACGCGGCGCACGGCGCTGCGGTTCCAGGAGCTCAGCCCGTGGTCGTCGTTCGGGCACGTGGCCGCCAACGGCGCCATCCTGGAGTCGTTCCTGGAGGCCTCCGCGGCGTCGTCGGAGCCGCAGAGGTTCCACATCCTCGACCTCAGCAACACGTTCTGCACGCAGTGGCCCACGCTGCTCGAGGCGCTCGCCACGCGGTCCGCCGACGACACGCCGCACCTGTCGATCACCACGGTGGTCTCAGCCGCGCCGTCCGCGCCGACGGCCGCCGTGCAGCGCGTGATGCGGGAGATCGGGCAGCGGATGGAGAAGTTCGCGCGGCTGATGGGCGTGCCCTTCAGCTTCCGCGCCGTGCACCACGCCGGGGACCTCGCGGAGCTCGATCTCGACGCGCTCGACCTGCGCGACGGTGGCGCCACCACCGCGCTCGCCGTCAACTGCGTCAACTCGCTGCGCGGTGTGGTGCCGGGCGGTGCCCGAAGACGGGACGCGTTCGCCGCGTCCCTCCGGCGTCTCGATCCGCGGGTTGTTACTGTCGTCGAGGAGGAGGCTGATCTCGTGGCATTTGACCCTGACGCGTCCGAGGAAAGCGGCGACACGGAAGCAGCGTTCTTGAAGGTGTTCGGCGAGGGCTTGCGGTTCTTCTCGGCCTACATGGACTCCCTGGAAGAGAGCTTCCCCAAGACAAGCAACGAGAGGCTGGCACTGGAGAGGGGAGCCGGACGTGCCATTGTGGACCTGGTCTCGTGCCCGGCGTCGGAGTCCGTGGAGCGGCGGGAGACGGCGGTTTCATGGGCGCGCTGCATGCGGTCTGCCGGCTTCTCTCCGGTGGCGTTCAGCGAGGACGTTGCCGACGACGTGCGGTCGTTGCTCCGTCGGTATCGGGAAGGATGGTCGATGCGGGACGCCGGTTTAGACGACTCGGCAGCCGGAGCAGGCGTCTTCCTGGCGTGGAAGGAACAGCCTCTCGTGTGGGCAAGCGCGTGGAGGCCATGATAGAGATCGAACTTGGAGCTCGTCGACGCAAATGCAAGCTCGGTGAGTACGCGTACGTGGCACAGCATGAGCCACAGGAGAAGCAAGGGCGCCATCCGCCATGCCTAGCCGTCGTGGACTCGTGGTTGATGCATCGATCCATGCATTGGATCGCGGGCACGTGCATGTGTATGGCGGGCTCTCTCTCGCTCCTCCTTGTTCGTCTTGAAATCTGAATGGCTCACGCGTGTAGGGTTTTGGAGCAGCGTAAGCGTAGTAGGGATTGCTAGCTCACGTACACATTGGTTGCAGCAAGGTGATCGAGGAGGAGGTATGGTCGATAGTTTTAGGTTTTAGAGACTTGCATCTATTTCAAATTTGGATCATCGATCGTCACAAGTTCTTGGAGTGATGATTCCGGTTTGCTTGCTTCTTTTTTTTCTCACATTCCTCTGTGTTTCTTCTTGTAATTTAAGGTTAACAACTTTCTTCCCTTTGGAGGGATTTACGTGCATGGTTTTGTCACACGGCGTCTCGTGTGTAGCTCATAGCAGCTACATTTAGCCATGAGACTTATGCTTGCATTGGATGGTTGTTGAGATGTTGCTTCCTATCTTGTTGATTGTTGGGGGTTGTTAGGGCTTAGGGCAGACACTTGCACGGCCTACTACTTTTGCATTGGTTACCAGTACCAATATCAAGAAGCTAGCATGAATCAGGCAAGCAGCTGCACACTATAGCTAAGACTAGACAACACCTAGTAGACCATATATATATATATATATATATATATATATATATATATATATATATATATATATATATATATATATATATATATATATATATATATATATATATATGAGGTAGCTAGAGTGCTCTTTGTTTGTTCTTCCCCCATTATATTTACATTATTGGAGTTCCTTCTTCTATATATTTGAAATGATCAAATGCCAAAGTCGTTTTGGTCTAGTCAATGTTTCTGTGTCATGCATTTTACCTGATCCACAAGAGTATGATTTGGTCGACGTTTTCAGGATCTGCGTGATATCAGGTACGGTATATATATAGTCAATAAAATACAGGCCAATATTGTAGTTGAAACTCATTCTAGCTAAGTACTGAAAACTCTCTCATCAAAATAGGTATATATACGGTCATCTTGTATGATGACCATAATAGTTAGCTTCAATCCCCAGAGAAAATGGACTAGTATTTTTTTTTTGAAAAAAAGCTAGTATCAGTTCCTTTCCTTCAAATAACTTATAAGTTAGTGTGACAAATGGCCATATGTTGCTTCAGAAGATGATCTAGGGGGCCATTATATAATTTTTATCCGAACATCGTCTAGGGCCCAAATAGAGAGCAGCTAATAGTTTGGTGTCCAAATCATTCAGTAGTCCAAGCTGCCGCATCAAATTTGTTGTGTCGATTGCAAGCTAGCTCAGACCTTTTTGAAATCTGCTGGAAAGACCGGCCTGTCGTTGACAGATTAGTTTGTACCCCGTTTTCTAATGGTTTAAGTAGCTTACCTTTGATCTCGTGCATAAGACAAAGATCTGGAGTTGTTAGGAGCTTGCAACGTATATAGTGGGGAGTGACAACGATCGGTATGCATGTATATGATGGCATCATCATCAAACTCATAATAATAAGCTGATGATGAATAGGCCGGAATATAGAGTAGAATTATAGGGGATCGAAAGCATGGAGGATATATATGCTGCCAAAGCGATGATCTGCTTGAGGGTTAGTTGATGGAGTGATATCATGAGCTCAGAGAGCCGTTTGTAGAAAACACATAATTTAGTTTGTCAGTAATACCCTTGCCCTGTCGTTTTCATGTAGAGAAACTACTGCGGCATTGCCACTGCATGCCATTATTCTCGACACATGCACATCTTCAATGCATTGACATCCACGTCTCCTTGCCGTTCACGTTTGCGTTGATTTCATGTCGTGATCTGTTTGGCGCGCATGCACTCGATCGATCGAGAGTCATCCTCGAAAGCTAGCTAGCTAGCATGCAGGATGTGCACGTACGTATGTATGCGTGGCAGCAACAGAGTAACTAACAACAACATCATCAACGACACAATTGCGAGAAATAAACAAAAACATGCATGCAGAAACGACGACGACGTCACGGCGTACGTCCTAATTAACAGGAACACGCGGCAATATGATTCAGATGATAAGCTCAATCTGGTCTTCTCGTGGTCAGGGCTGCGGTGATGGTCTCTGACAACGTCCCAGGATGCATCTGCGAGTTTATATATCGACCCCAATCACGGGTACGGTGCACGCCTTCCAGCAACTGAGATGAGTGAGATTTCATGTGCAGCGCGTCATATGTCTGCAGCGCGATCGCAGAAGGCGTAGGAAACGCCGGTCCGGCGGGGCGCATGCATGCGGGTCGGCTAGCCTGACCGGCCAGGAGCGGCACGGAAAAACACGCGGGGTAGGCCGAGAAGAGCCGACGGCACGGCGTGCGCGCGGCGGCCGGGTCGTTATCGCGTGGGCGCGGGCGGGCGGGACAAGGGGCTGGCTCCGGGCTCGGCTCGATCGCTCTCGCGGAGTCGCGGACGCGGGGACGAGGGGAGCGAATCTGGCGTGGAGTGGGTGGCGGAATCTAGCAAAAGAAGGTGGGCTTGGATCGATCCACTGGCCGCCCGGACGGCCGGCCGGCCGGCTCCATCACAGTGGCTCTGCTGTGCGCGGCCTACGCACGGACGGGCCCCCCACGATCCACTGCACGCCCCTTTCCGCCCCGTTTCTCCCGCGACATCATTACGCGCGCCGACCCGACCCCCGCTCGCCCGGCGACCCGTCGGCATCGTCGCTGTCTGCCGCGAGGGCCCAGGGCGTGTCGCACTCCCAGGGCCTCGCCATTCATTTCTCCCTCCCGGCCGGCCGAGGTAGCTCCGTCGGCCGGCCGGCCGGAAACATCCCCACTTCAATTCCCAGCTGGTGTGCAGCACGTGTGTAGTCTATATGCATGTCCAGGTTCCCAACTGATCGAGATGCGCTGTATACCAATACCAGCCTGCTAGCAGATGTGTTGTAGCGTTACGTGTTTTCGGTAATGTTAACAACTACTCCATGGGCCTGACAATTTCGTTGCTACCAACTCATCAGACATGGTGATCGAGCCAGACAGCAATATAGCAGCTAGGATCCGTGCTTTTTCTCCCAGCTGATTGGCTAGAGGATTTATATCGCTGACGATAGCCTCCCGTACGTCAGGCATATATATCTATCATCACGCAGCCGTATGATTGAAGGGTTGTTTGTTGCGGTACGCCGGTACCTATCGCGACTGATTTATTTCACCGGAAGAGGTCATGCACGGCCACACATATAGATATACACACATTATTGCAGGCTTGCAGCAATATAATTGGTCGGTAGAATTAACTAGCTGTCCGAGGTCCTTGCTAATTATGTTCATTAAACTCTAAATGACGAGGACTGTGATGGAGACCCTGATCGAATACAGTCAGAGTCCCAACTTGACACATCAGAAAGTTTTCGCTTTCTCGAGTGTGGGTCGTCAAACTGGGCCATGAGCTGAGCCAACTTTCAATCCAATTCTGCGCAAATCATGATACCGCCGGTCCCTTTGCAGCCTTTTGTCCATTGTAAATAGTTGGGCGTGCATGCCTTTGGTTTTATCCACAAGAAAAAAATGAGAGGCTCCTTTGCATGCCCTTTTTAGCTGGAAGTGAGTCCAGTGGAGTACATGCATATTTGTATATGAAAAAAAGAGAATACGTCCTTCTCAATATAGTGTTAACTGCTAATAAGCTGTGCATGAGTCCAGTGCACTATCTTATCATTACTGATTATACAATATTTTTAACCTTCACGTTAATTTCAATTAAACGTGCTAAAAGATAACTAATTCTACAAATTTTATCTGTTAGGTAAAAAGAAGAAAAATTTATCAATTAGGTAAACTCTAATCATTATTGACACTACTCGGGTCTACCGTGAAAAGTAACAAATATTTGTCATTATTATATGAAAGAGAAATGTGAAGGAACCCCCTAAGCTGTATCTAATTTATTCACCACTGTCATTATAAAAAATAGCATAAAGTAACAATCTAAATCTTCATTTAAATTATCCATATATGTCATTTGGAGAATATTTTAAAATAATCCCTTAAATTTACATCTACATTAGCAACTTATGTCATTAATAAAAAATACCCTCAAGTACATCCCCTAAATCTGTATCTAGCTAGGCACCCTAACCTATTATAAAGAAATATCCCAAAGTACTTTACAAATGTTTTTAATTACCGGCTTCTACCATGTTATGTGTCACCAGCAAACCATGTATACATATATTGGACACATAGCTTAATTTAAGGTTTCAACTAAACACATGGAGGTGTGATGGAAATGGAAAAGGCATGAAATGGGGATTGAGAAACATATAGAATAAATGCTAACCAAAATGTACTTATATCACAAACCGTATACAAAGATTACAAAAGCATCTATATAAATATTGTGTTAGAATATGAACAAATAAATGAGAGAATCAAAGATAAGTAATTTTGACTAGTTGTAGTAGGTCTCAAATTTTTAACCAAAGCTTCTACACTTATGTCTCTTAAAACTATTAGCCTGTGATGGAGTCGTCTATTAAATTGTTACTTGCGATCTCATGGGTTAATGGACTGGTGTATCAAATTCTTACTTGCAATCTCAAAAAATGCAGCTAAATCAAAGCACCTTTAATTTCAGCCCAGCTCCATGACCTTGATAAAATTTATACAAATAAATAATTGAATCGAAGATCAGAGACACCGGAGATGAATAGCGTCATATCCATGTGCTCTTCACATCAGTTGAGCTAACATGATTCTATTTGTTCCCAATCATCGAAGCTGATTTGTCTGTTTACACTGCCGAACTGTTGCGTTGCCTCCTCCTCCTATGTCCTATGTAGGGGCCGGGGGTCTTTGGCCTTTGGGCTGAAACATCCCTGCGCGGCAGAGCATGCATGCA